CACACACACACACACACACACACACACACACACAATCACACACACACGCTCTAAACCAACAAAGCTCCTCTCTCTCTCTCTCTCTCTCTCTCTCTCTCTCTCTCTCTCTCTCTCTCTCTCTCTCTCTCTCTCTCTCAAGCAAGCAAGCAAGCACACACACACGCTCTGGACGACCTACAAATCTCTTCTCTATCTCTCTCTCTCTCGTGCTTGCTGTCTCGTGCAAGCAAGAGTGTTCGAGCGCCGGGTTTCGCACTACTTGTTAAAACATCGGCAGCAACCTCCTTCTTGTCTCCCACACCCTCTGTCGGCCATATCCTCCTCCCTTCACTTCCTCGCAGAAATCACTCTGAAACGCCAACACCTGCCAAAGAACCTCCTACCACATATGTCTGCGAGATTGGTCCTCTCTCTCTCTCTCTCTGCGGCTGGCTTGTTCTCTCGCTCCGTCGCTCGTGCATGCAAGAGTGTTCGAGCGTCTCTCTCCCTCTCTGTGTCGTTCTCTTGCTCCGTCGCTCGTGCATGCAAGAGTGTTCGAGCGTCTCTCTCCCTCTCTGTGTCGTTCTCTTGCTCCGTCGCTCGTGCATGCAAAGAGTGTTCGAGCGTCTCTCTCTCTCTCTCTCTCTCTCTCTCTCTCTCTCTCTCTCTCTCTCTCTCTCTCTCTCTCTCTCTGTGTGCGCCTGGCGGGACTGTCTACAACGTGCCTGGAAGCGCAATATGCTTCTGCATCTAAGTGTGTGTGTTTGTATATGTGTGGTCGCGATCCCGTCGGATCCCGTCTGCCGACGTGGTCACCTGTCTCTGCAGCCGCGTGACGCTGTTCGGCCGATGATGGTTTTGCGGAACAAGAGTGTGCGACAGTGAGCGGACTGGGTGGGCGACACAGGACGTCGTCTCACCGATCACTCGTTGACAGGGACAGGCAGGAGGAGTTGAAAACTCTAAAGGGCATACTCGCACCGGCAGGAGGAGTTGAAAACTCTAAAGGGCATACTCGCACCGGGACTTTCATGCATGTGTGACACCGCTTTTCCGGCCCTGCCTGACGCACCTGGCATCAATTACGTCCACAGAGAGACAAGTGGAAAAAGTCCTCCCGGTAGTCTGAGTACGCCCTCAGATACGCCAAGCACCGCAGCATTCAGGATTTGTTTTCATTTTTTTATTTTTTTGCCCCAAAACTAAACCACTTGGATTATAGCATGTCCCAGTGGTCGAATCCAAGTGGACATGCTATAATCCAAGTGGTTTAGTTTTGGGGCAAAAAAATAAAAAAATAGAAAAATAAAAACAAATCCTGAATGCTGCGGTGCTTGGCGTATACCTTTCTCGGCCTTTTGGCTAAGATCAAGTGTAGTATCTGTTCTGATCAGTTCAATATCTGATCCGTGGTCCATCGGACCACAATAAAAAAATAATAATAATAATAATAAAAAAAATTATAGCATGTCACAGAAAAAAATAAAATCGAGCGAGGAAAAAAAGAAAAAAAAAAAAAAGAAGAAGGGAAAGGAGTTCTTTGATTTAGGAAAAAAAAAAAAAAAGAGGAGTGTGCGGCAGGGTGCAAAGCTTGACATGGACAGGAGTGGGCGACAAGGACCCATGCCCGACAGGAGCAGGAATGTGAGCAATAGAGGAGGGCCTACCATCTTTACCCGAATAGAACGCCCGGTCATTACAGCCGTTTCTGGTACAATTTCGAGTCCAGATTCAGCTATAATGACTGGGGCGTTCTATTCGGGTGAAGACGGTCGGTCGGAGTGCATGAGTGTGCGACAGCACTGCGACTGCCGGAGTGCATGAGTGTGCGACACTACTGCGACTGCCGCCCACCGTGGTGGGCCTGTCGTCAGCGTGTCCGTGGCATGGTCACGACCCCAGCTTCAGGGCAGCCACAGCCCTTTCTCTTGACGACCGTGAAAGGATTTTTTTTTTTCTAAAAGGAAAACAAAAAAAAAACAAACATTCCGCCAGCAGGGTGCTCGCCCAAGGGACACGGCGTTCCGAAAATCATTCAAAAAAAATAAAAAAATAAATAAATCAGAATTTAAAAATAACTAAAAAAAAAGACATTCAAAAAGAAAAAGGGGGAAAAAAAAAAAGTGAGAACCCTTTAAAAAAGAAAAAAAAGGTGAGAGCCCCCATGGCTGCCGTATACTACCATTTTCCCCCCAATACAACATAAGGTCATCATACCTGTATTTAGACTGAAAGATACCCCAAATACAGACTGAAAGATACCCCAAATAGAGCTACAATGACGGAACGTTGGTAGATGTAAGGGACCCCTGTTTTGGGGGCATATAATGGGATAATGGGGTCGAAAAGGTGAGAACCCCCGCCAAAAAAAACCACCGCCAAAAAAAAATAAAATCAGGTGATTCTTTTTCTTTCTTCTTTTTTTTAACATTTTTTTTTTTTTTTTTTTTAAGCTCAAATCTATTGGTGGGGAGCAGCATCTGCTGGAAAAAGTGTCCACCGTCCCATTATACATCATAAGAACTGAGCTTGACTGTATCTACCCTTGTCACCAGGGGATTGACTGAGCAGGTAGTGGAGTAAATGACAATAGCAAACAAATAGGAGTTCAAGGAGATGCGGACCATCAGCTCTTGGTTCCAGGTTTTGGGATAGGTTCACACCTGCTCAGTCAATCCTCTGGTTCCCAGAGCAATCAATGCTGGCAGGAATCCTCTAAGACACCATCCAGTTTTTCTATGCATCATTCTGTATCAATTTCCGTATGGGACGCTGGACCCGTTTTCCAGCAGGTGATGCTCCCCACCAATAGATGGAGCCTCTCCCCAGGTGCTAGCAATGTCTGCGCTAAACAGCATTGCTAGCACTGGTGGGTCTGTTTTCCAAAAAAAAAAAAAAAAAAGCCATAACCGAGGACCGCATTGCCGAACCACCTCTTCAGCCCTGATCAGGCCGCAGAACCAACATGCTGCCCTAGCTAGAATGATTACTAAAACTTTTTTTAATAAAGCCAAGGCAAAAAGCAGACAAAACTCAGTGCCATGATGCCATCACTCAAGCACCCCTTTGATGGGGATCAGCCTGTGGCCAGAAATGCCTATCAGATTGTAGAATATGCCTCCACATACTACAAACACTTATTTACCTCTGAAACGAGGCACACACACCCACAGGCCCTGGAGGAAGCAAGGAGCACTTTGCTGAAGGCACTGCCAGCAATAGTGTAGACAGAACAAAGAAACCAATTGGATATCATACCCCCCTTTCCCACCTTGACCTGCTCCGAGCATTGCAAGATATGGATGACGAAAAGACGCCGGGACTGGATGCATTTCCTAAGGAATTCTGGCTCCACTTCTGGGATGTTTTCTCGCATGATTTCACAGCCTACGTTAATGCAGTCTTCCACGAGGAAACCTTTGGAGACATGGTAGGACAAGGGGTGACAACACTGTTGCATAAGAAAGGAGATCGGGAGGAGATACGCAACTACCGTCCAATCACCCTCCTGCCAGTACCATACAAAATCGTTGCTAAAGCATGGCGAATAGGTTGCTGCCCCTATTACCTCACCTCATACACCCGGACCAGTCTTTATGCTACACCGAAACATTCAGGACAATATCCTGCTCGCGAATGAAACCGTCTGGTACGAGCGTCAGAGAAAGGCTGAGGCGGCAATATTGTTCATTGACTTCGAAAAAACGTACAACCACGTGGACTGGGACTTCTTGGATCTCTGTTTAACTAAAAATTAATGCAATCTGGTCCCTTATTCTGCAAATGGGTTAGCATCTTGCACAGGACGGCCACAACCAATATCGCGCTTAATGGCCATCTAGCGTCACCCTTCCGCCTGCAGCGATCGGTTAGACAAGGTGACCCTATCGCACCAATGTTATTTGCCCTAGTGATGGAATCCCTACCAGCAATAATCAGACCCAAACTGGCCATGATCCAAAAGATTGATATGCCCGAAATCCCGTATCATCACATTCCAACGACCTCGCTCTTTGCAGATGATCTCACGGTAATATTCAGAGCCAATACACAGAGCTTACAGGCGTTGACACACACTATACGTCTCTTTGAGATAGCAGCGGATATGAGAGTGAACTGGGGGACCAAAACGGAAGGATGGTGGCTGGATCTTATGCAGGCTGCCCCCCCAATAGATCCCTTAGTGACATGGAGGGACAAAGAGACGGCGATCAGAGTGTTGGGGGTAAGACTTTCAATGGTGGGTCCCCCAGCCGACCATGGGGACAGATTGGTGGACATTGCTATCCAACAAATAACACGATGGAACTCGAAAACCACCTCGCTGGTGGGCCGAGTCCTGGCAATAAACAATGTCATCTTCGCGTCTATATGGTATAAGGTGGCATTTTGGCCCCTCACCACTAAGCAACTCAGAAAAATCAAACAGGCAACGACATCCTACTTGTGGAAAAATGATCACAGGATGCCAAATGCATTAAACGGGTCTCATGGGATGTCGTCACCACCCCTAGACGACCCTCGCCCACATTCAAAACTCCTGCCTTGCGCCCCCCTCGCCCCATGACCAACAAGTGCACCCC